TCCTACATTTCGGAAATACAACAGGAAAAGAAAATTATAAATTCAAAATCAAGGTGGAAGATTGAAATGAAATCTTTTTTCTGTTTCATGAGCTCAAAACCGATCAAACGCATGAAGCACTATCGTTTGCTTTTAGGTTTTTTGGTTTCGTTTTGAAGGTCTTCGGCCCACATACAAAGATACAAATGATTATTACAATGATGAATATACCATTGACACATTATGAAAACGTATGATTTAAATGACACACAAATATATTTTCCATTAACCATCAGTTGTCTAAGCTCAAAGCTCTAACATAAATATTTGCAAAGATTATTTAATAATTCAGTTGATGTAGAAGATAACAATTGATGAAATTTATAAATAGACGGATTGTCGTTGTACATTGCAGTAAATAACAGTTTCTTAGATTATTATAACATCCACATATAGGTTTAAAATGAAATTCATCTTCTATTCCTTCGTTACATGTAATGCAAATAATTTGATTAAAATCATCTCCCCACCACCGTCCCTCATTAACCGTTAATTACGTTCCCGCTCTGATCCTAGTAAGAATATTCCTATGTTTTTGATTTGTTGACAAAGTTTAATATAATTCTGGTTCTAAAGTGCTTTCATTTTGTCTGTATAGCCTGTACCTTGAACTCTCTTCCATTGTACTATTCCATGTCTGTATATACATGTAAACTGAAACGCTTATAAACATCTGAAGAAACTGGAATTCATTACCGACACCTTGAAAAAATCAAACATAACCAAATCCATATGAAAACAATATATTATGCACAGATGAAACATAGTTATCATAACCACAATTATCATAATACATGAACATATCATTAGCTTTTTGGGAATTCTTTGTTGATGCAAATTCAAGCCAGTATTTCATAAAACGACATTGAGCACTAATGTACAGTGGGTAACGACCACATTATCCATGAACAATTACATTTGGTGTTTGAGGGTCAAGATTTAAAATATCTTACATGCAGTTAAATGTACATTTCAATCTATAAAAAATTATTGTTTTCCCACAAAACGCTGGAATATTGCTAAGTGCGGCATAAAACAACAAACAAGGCGATATTACGTAAATATTGTTAAAAGAGGCGTAAAACTGCACTATTAGAAACTTTCTGGTAGTCACCAAACCTTTAAGGCCGGAGTGCAAACTTAAAAAATCCCATGGGTTTCTACTTAGTCTCCATTGGCTACTCCTCAGCAGTGTAGATGTTATCTGCCCATGAGTGACAGGACTGTAAGGCTATGGGAGCCTGGCGTTGTCGAGTTGGTAAGTTTAGGGCAGCAATTGACACTCTCAATAATTTCTACAAATTGTCTGGTTTAAGAATAAATATAGATAAACCTAAAGCAGAGTGGATAGGCTCAATGGCAGGTAATAGCATGATTTTATGCCAGGATCTAAAGCTTGATTGGCATAATGGGGATTTTGATATTCTAGGAATTAGGCTTAATCCTAATTTAAATAACCTTTGGGTAATTAATACAAGAAAAAAGACTAGAAATTATTAATAGAACTCTAGGGATTTGGAGGAAAAGAAAGTTGACATTAATAGGGAAATTAACTGTTATTAAAACTTTAGCACTTTCATTATATATATTCACTTCACTCCTAAAGCCTCCAAAGGATTTCATTGACCAATTAAAAAATATATTTTATAAATTCATCTGGAATGATAAGCGGGATAAGATAAAGCGAACGACACTTATTAGAAAATATGAAGAAGGGGACTCAGAATGGTGATGTAGAGGTATTCATAAATTCTTTAAAACTGTCAGTTTTACATAAATATCTTCAAAATAAAAGCAGCACTAGCCCTAGTATCTTTCCATTCAAAGATGTATTTCTGCTTGGAACCAAAATTATGTCAATATTATGAATCCCTATTGGAAAGATGTATTTGCTGCATGGGGAATATTTTATAAAACATTTAAAACTGATTTTACAGATATTGATCAAATCTTATCCGAACCCCTTTGGTTCAATCATCAATTCCAAAATAGTAATTTCATCATAACACATTGGCATCTCAAAGGTATTCATTCTATAAGAGACTTGTGTAATGATCAAGGTATTTTGTCATTTAGTGAACTTAAGAAAACTTACAAAATTAAGGGCACAATTCTTGACTATTATCTGGTTCTTTCCAATATACAGAAAAAAATGGACAGATGCTATATACTAGCCACATAAAGAAACTGCATTGTCAAAATATTATCCCATTTGATAAGTACGATAACAGTGTCAAAGGTACATATAAACTTTAATGGAGGGATCATGAGACCATAACAAGTCGGGAGAATTTCAATTGAAAAGTCAATCACAATGACGTCACGAGTCCACAAGCGGGACAGGGGTCAAACGACCATGTCACAGGCTCAATAACGGGTATGTCCACCATCGGCATTGAGAACAGCAGTGCATCGACCCGCATAGAGCCTATCAAACGTGCAAGGAAGGCTTGTGGGATGTCACGCCAGATTCTCTCAAGTTCTGTTGCAAGGTCAAGGACGTTATCTGGCGGATGGGGAAGACGGCGTAGACGTCGATCCATCTCGTCCCAAACATGCTCTATCGGTGAGAGATCCGGTCAATTTGCAGGCCAAGGCAGTAAGTCAACGTTGTGGTGTTGCAAGAAATCCATAGCAACCCTTGCCGTATGAGGGCGGGCATTGTCCTGTTGGAATGTTAACCCAGGGCCATGACGTTGCAGAAAAGGAATTGTCACAGGTCGAAGAATCTGATCCCTGTAGCCCACACCAAGTTGCCCTGAACAATCACCAAAGGAGTTCTTTGGCGTGCAGTTATTCCACCCCAAATCATCACGGAACCACCACCAAAGCGATTCCTCTCCAAGACACAGGCCTGTGCATAACGTTCTCCCACGCGTCTATAGGCACGTTGACGTCCATCACTATGGAAAATGTTAAACCTGGACTCATCTGTAAAAACAACATTTCTCCACCAAAACAAGGGTCTGCGGACATGATTTCGGCACCACATTCGGCGAGCTTGTTGATGACGTTGTGTCAGGATAGGCCGTATGGCGGGACGTCTTGGTCTGATCCCGTGATGACGTAAACGTCGTCGAACTGTGTTGGGGTGGATATGGCGAAGTCCTGGGATGGTTCGGGCAGTCATCACTGCAGTCTGAAACCTGTGGCGAAAATGGGTCACCCTTATCCATATGTCCTGTCTTGGCGTTGTTACACGTGGACGTCCAGAACGTGGCCGATCAATGACGTCATTTGTGTTCTGGTAGCGTCTCACCAGTGCAGAAATGGTGTTCCGGTGGCAGTGGAAATGTGCAGCCACTTGTCGTTGAGACATTCCCCCACGGACCATTCCAATGGCCTCATGACGTTGTGCAGACGTGAGCCTTGGCATGCTATGCGTTTTATAGCCGTTTAATTTTTTGAACGATCGCAAGGGCAGGGGTTGAGCTTTCCAAAGTGACAGTATTTGTGACAGTAGTGTGGCATTCATTTGCTCTGTTTCTCTTTCCCGGAATGCACTTGCAACAACGTATTGCACGTCTCAAGGACGAACCCACTGACGTCACGGAACGTGGCACGTGCATGCATGTTGGATACATGTCACGAATCTCTGAGTTTAAATCCTTATGTGCCTACACAGGTTTGATAAATTTAGATTTTCAATCTTTGTATGGACAGTTTCTTTATATGCCTAGTATATAAGAAATAATGTATTGATTGTTCAGAATCATGATCTTAACACATCACTGATAGGTTTACTTTCAGCACCAAAGAGATCCAGATACTTCTATGATAAACGTATAAGTACTGAAAACCTACCTTCAACATGTGAAAAATGGCAAAATATCTTTGATATTGCAATTCCATGGCAAGATATTTTCAAAAAATATAGAAGAAATACAAAAGATACTAAATTGATTGACTTCCAGTTTAAATTTATCCACAATATTGTCTACACAAAAAAAATTGTATTGAGAATGAAATTAGTAGATGATGAACTTTGCTCATTTTGTAATTTAATGTCAGAAAATTTGATACATGTTTATTGGGAATGTGAATGTGTGAAAACGTTCTGGTTGAAACTGAAAGAATATATTGAAAATAAATCATCAGAAAATTTTACCCTGACAAAATATACAGTCTTAATTGGCGGAAATAATAACGACCTTATGAATCACATACTTCTTGCCAGTAAAAAATACATCCATGTATCAAGTATTAACAATACTTGACAAAATATACAGTCTTAATTGGCGGAAATAATAACGACCTTATGAATCACATACTTCTTGCCAGTAAAAAATACATCCATGTATCAAGTATTAAAAAAAATAAGTTATCACTGGATACATTTGTAACAATATTGAGTGATATATTCAAGACAGAAAAGTTTATTGCCAGTAAGAATCAAAACATATTACAATTTGACAGAAAATGCTAATCTCTATTGTACACATTCCCAGATTAATGAATGTTGTAATATGTGTAATGCCAACCCATATGAATTTCTGTTTTATTGTGTACAAGTTCTGTTGCATCATGTACTTTGTATATTTGTATCTTCTGATTTTGAATGAATACAAAACAAAAAAAACCAAACCTCACAGGCTTGTTTTTATGGAACCGCACCTCTGGCCACCCGACTGATCTGGATTTACAAAAGAAAAATATATTTCCAAAATATGCTGGACAAAACCAGTTAGGGATATATGTACCAGTTTTGGAATTATGAATAATGATCTATTTCCTCATTGACACACGGATAAAATATCAATCATAAAAATACCAATATCCCTAACTGTCATGTAGCTGTAATATTGCTGAGTGCAGCGTTTAAAAGGAAAGAAACACATACACACAGTTTATGTTATGAAAATTATTGTTAATAAGTTGTTTTGATTTGTACGTTGACCAGCCCTTGGTTTTTACTTGCGTCTTGTTGGTAAATGTTACAATAACATGGCTGATGACAAAAGTTCTTCCCAACACCAGCAGTCAGATCGTCACTACACGACCGATACCAACCAGCACTTTGTCCACTATTGGTCAGCAGGGAGTATTTGGAGGTCAGCCTGTGATCCCTGGTGTCAACCCACTCAAGAGAAAGCTGGAAGACGATGATTAAGATAAATGAAGTCGATAACTTGATATGTGGAAGATCTTGACTGGTGGTGTGGTTCAAGGGAAGGATATCTGGAATACTTTGATTATTACATGTGTTGTGGTCGATGAGCTTGAAGAGCTTAAACTCTGTAGGAGCTTGAGTATGAAAGTGGTGTGGTTCAAGAGAAGGATACCTGAAAGATTCTGATTATGACTTATGTTGTGACCGATGAGCTTAAACTCTGTAGGAGCTTGAGTATGACAAGTGGTGTGGTTCAAGAGAAGGAAATCTGGAAGAATCTGATTCTGACTTATGTTGTGACCGATGAGCTTAAACTCTGTAGGAGCTGGAGGTGATGTGGCTTCATCAGGGAATGGATGTCTGGAGGCAGTGTTCTCAAATTGCAGTGTCAAAATATCCTGCACACCCAGTTTAATAAAGCTCAAATAGTCAACATTACAGCATATCGAACACACTAATGTTGCCTTAGGGTTGTCACTGGGTCATTGAGGCACAGTTATCAATGTTGCAGAATGCAGACCCAGTTTGATTAAGCTCAACTGATGAACACTACAGTATGTCAATATTATCAACATACAAATGTTGCCTTGGAATTCATATCTTCATACACGATGCATAACTATACCAGACATCAGCCATTTTTGTATGGGATGTACATGAGCTCCACATATAGTTTGAGACTTTTACTTTTCTCCGAAGCAATTTTAGCTGCCTTCCTGAAAATAAGATTTGGGAGTTTCAATTAAGTGCTTCGTAAGTAAATATGATTTTTGGTTTTTAATTTTTATACAAAATATTAGTTTTGTTGTTAATTCAGCTGAGGTCTGAGGTTGACACATACCATTATATAACTTATATTTTGATTAAGTTTGGTGTTGCTGGATTGCTTGATATGTTTGAGGTGTAATCAAACCAAACCAAACAAGTGGAATCGGAGTCGTTTTCTGCTTATTTTGATCTTTCTCATTTTGTCTCGAGTGGCTGTGTTAGTAGTGTCAAACGGACATGGTGGACAGGGGTACGGTATATGAATGTTTACGCTTAAAACTTAACGTTTATCAAAAGGGATATATCCCATCCAAAGGATTAGAAGGGGCTCAAACCAAACAAAGATCTACCCATGTTAGGGCTGGCTATCGATGTAGATTATCGAGGTAGAGCAAAATGAGCAAAAGTGCGTAAAATGTCTGAAAGATACCAACATATTTCATGTCACTGGTGAGTGCTGACATATTTGTGCATGGAATGTTTAGAAAACAGTGTCCAGTGTCCAGTTCCTCAAAGCGATCGTAGAGCTAAGATGATCGTAACTCCAATACATGGACTTGGTTTGTGGAACAGGGCCAGGACACATTTAGAAAAAGTCCATGAACAAAGATCTAACTTTGTGTATCGTGTGAGTAAATTAAAACTATATTTCCACACAATAGTTAATGTACAATATTATCTATGACATAATTATCATGTCGATAATCATTAACAATTCTTCCCATTGACAATATTTCCGATTTCGTTTTAGCCAGACCTATCACTGAGTGTACAGTAATGATACAAGACAAATGTTATGGATAACAACTTCTTGATTTATTTTACACAACGTTTCTGGGCTAGTTCTTGCCCCTTCGTACAGTAATGAGTTGGGGAAGTAGATCTGAAATATATGTTTGCATAATCATGACAATGAACCAGATGTATTATCATTATCATCAGCAGTAGAAGATGAACCTGTACACAAAATGGTCCCCCGGTCAGAGCTTGTGTCTTGCAAGCAGAAACGTCATGCCTTTCCTTCTGCCAGAGGGGTGGTGAAGTAGCCTAGTGGTTAAAGCGTTCGCTCGTCACGCGGAAGAACCGTATTCGATTCCCCACATGGGTACAATGTGTGAAGCCCATATCTGGTGATATTGCTGGTATATTGCTAAAAGCGGCGTAAAACAAAACTCACTCACTCTTTCTGCCAGATAGAAAAATGACATCAAAGAGTTTAAACAAGAAGCCGATATTCAGCCCTGAACCTGCAGGAAATGTCTGTAAATATATGGTAACCAATTTTATCATCCTTGTTAATACAGTTATGAGCAGTGTCATGGGTTTTTAGACATTGTCCGGAAGTTTCTTGTATTCCACTGATCAGTGGACCAATAGAGATAGAGCTTTATTGCTTAGCTGTAATATCATTTCATTGAATGTGTTGTTAAAATGCAGCGTTATACACAATACCTCGAAGTTAGATATGTTGGTTTGGAAAAGTGTAAATTGTTAAGAAATTAATAATGTTTGAATGAATTAATGCATTGAATGCGTTGTTAAATATACCTCACACTTTGTAAGATTATTTATAAGATTTTTAATATATGTTTTTGAAGGAATTAATGATTAAGTCCTATTTGCCAAACAAGAGCACTTATTTTGGAATCTTAGGGAAGCTCATTGTATAGATCCTCGTTTTAGCCCTTTGAAAATCCTGAAATCATCTCTGCTTTGTTTTCGTTATTGTCTTGGCTTCACCATACTAAACACTCTTTTGTGACTTATATGGTCGGGGGATGGGGTGGAATCTGTGTTTTCTTGTCATCATCTATGAAGGTGTGTCATCATGTTGTGTCTCCTGTCGAATAAAACAGCATAGAAAACTAAGTCATATCAGTAAAGAAAACATTGCAGAAAGTGTTTGTTTATCACAAAAGAAACGTCGCTTTTCAAAACCAAATGCAAGATTTTGCTCTTACAAAATGGTGTTTTTATTATGATTGTATCGTTTTGTTAACAAATTTTTCAATCCAAATTGACAGTTATTGCCAACATCAGTGTGTTTTCTGATGAAAAAGCATTTCGACCAAACGCACCTAAAAAGGCAAACGTGGTAAAAGGTTCCGTATGATATTCGTGAAAATGAAAATGCACGTCCATATCGTGACAACCCTACCAATGAAAGCGAGACCCAAACTCGCCTGAAATCATTTTTGCTTTGACACAATCGTCATGGCACGAATTACCAGAGATCAGAGGGACCAAGTCTTCGGACGATTGCAAGTTGGCTAGACTGCCAAACAGTTTAATGTTTATGTTAGGGCAATCTACCGACTGCAGGAGTGGTATCAGGTCACTTACAACATCCAGGACCGTCCACGCCGTGGGCGACCTTCAGTAACATCACAACGTCAAGACCGGCAGATAATGCGCCACCATCTGCAGGATCGCTTCCCCAGCGTGACGGAAAGAGCACGCCAGACCATTGGGACTCACAACAGACCCATCAGTGCCGATACAGTGCGTCGGCGTTTGCGCGGAAGAAACCTCTGCTGTCACAGACCATATCGTAGTCCTGTCCTCACCGCTCCTCGCCGCCCAAACCGTCTGCAATGGGCAACTCAGCATCGAAATTGGCGTTATTGACAATGGAGAACTGTGTTTATTCTCATGAAAGCCGATATTGTGTTTCGACAGTCGATGGCAGAGTGAGAGTATGGTGAAGGCGTGGGGCCGACAACTGCTGCTGGACTCGATCAGGCATTTCACAGAGTATGAAGCCTAAGTGCCTATGGCCTTCATCAACCGGCTAATTCAAACAATGTACAGACGATGCAACGCTTTCATCGATGTTTATAGAGGCCACACACGATACTGACTTTGGGGTATCTTAATGGTACCATTTTTGGTGATTTTGTTTGTGTGAACTCTAAATGTGATCCTCAAAATGTGTTAACCATGATTGTCAAGTTTGAACTCAATGCTCCGTTTTGATTGTTCATTAGAGTGAATTAAAGTGTGTGCTTTAATATATGGGGGAGGTTTATCTCATACAGTGAGAGGGCGGTGGGGTAGCCTAGTGGTTAAGGCATTCGCTCATCACTCTGAAGACCCAGGTTCGATTCCCTACATAGGCACTATGTTTGAAGCCCATTTCTGGTGTTCACCGCCGTGATATTGCTGGAATATTGCTAAAGGCTGCGTAAAACCATACTCACTCACTCGCTCAGAGAGAGACCCGGACACACACTTCTGATGCTGATGATTCATGTTTCCATAAACATAATATAGTGTATCGATAATAATGAACAATCATGTTTTAGTTTATCATAAATCATGTAAAAAAAAATCAACAGAACAAAATCGGAGTGAGTAATTTTCCATTATTCATGTAATATTGCTGAGTGTGGATTTAAACAACAAACAAAACAAAAACGAACAAAACGTAAATGTTCTTGTTTTCTTGCAATTCAACCTCATCTTAACAACATCAACATGATTCATTATAATTACATAGAAATCAGTGGAATGGGCCTTTCCTATTAACACAATAAATTATTATTATTCACTCGATTTGATATTTCCTTTGAGGATGCTATATTAGAATAAGTCCCCAGCATGCTGTTGATCACTGGATAGTCTGGTCCAGGCTCGATTATTTAAAGACCACCGCCATATATCTGGAATATTGCTGAGCAAACCAACCAACCAACATATATAGACCATGCAAATCAGATGCGTTTACTCTGTCTAAACATTGATCATGTAGAGTTATAATTATAACAGTTTTTATCAGAGCGCATAATATACTGAGGAAAAGAAATAAGGGATCACATGAAAGCACAAGTGTTCTTTTATTTTTTCTCCCAGGTTTCTTCACAAGCTTTGTGTCGCACAACTTGTGAAGAAACCTGGAAAAAAATAAAGGAACTCTTGTGCTTTCATGTGATCCCTTATTTGTTTCCCTCAGTATATATTCAGTTTCGGAGATGCTATTTTCTTTGAAGTGATTGCTTCACTAGATGCATACATATTGATACATTAATAAAACACATGACCGTTTTTAGTCTGGTTTTCTCTGCAGTATGCAAGCTCTCTGATGGCAACCTGTAAATAATTGAATCTTGACCAGACAATAGAGTGACTGATGTTATGGGCAACAACCCATGCCATCCAGGTACATTAACATGAGAACCTGATCACCAGTCCACGTTACTACCACCAATACTTGCTGGAGACTTGTTATTACCCACAATGTTGCAGAGTGAGTGAGTTAAGTTTTACGCTGCACTCAGCAATATTCCAGCTACATTTGGCGGCGGTCTGTTAATAATCGAGTCTGGACCAGACAATCCAGTGATCAACAGCAAGAGCATCGATCTGCGCATTTGGGAACCGAAAATGTGTCAACCAAGCCAGCGAGCCTGACCACGCGATCCCGTTAGTCGCCTCTTACGACAAGCATGGGTTACTGAAGGTTCATTCCAACCCGGATCTTCACGGGTTCACAATGTTGCAGAAGGGAAGTCAGACCAATAAGTGGTTAACTGGTTAAAAACAGCCAAGTTGGTTAACAGAAATGAACCAGGGAACTGGCCTCACAAGCCATTCCCTTACTGTTTCAGTAATATGGCAGTGGGCACCAGGAACTGCCATTACTGATCTTGTCCAGAACAGGAGAACATGAAATATTGTTATATTTGGGATTACCATGTGGGTTTGAATCCCGGGTGGGACTCAACCCAACAAAAGTACTAGAATCAGTACTTTACTAAGAAAGTGTAATCCCAAATATAACATTTGCAACAATTGTCCACTTTCAAAACTGCATTGTGCATTCATAGGAGAACATGGTTAGTATAGGTTACACAGCATGATACAAGGTCACTTAGGTCAAAGAAGAATTGCAGATGTTACAAAGATGAATGAAAATCATAACTGGATGCAAATAACTATGGCAACAGAAACTTCCTTATTCTATGGAAATAGTGTTAATGTGAGTGATGGGTGCTACTGGTATGTCAAGTTACATTTTTCACTAAGATGTGGCATCATTACTGATTTGCATTCACCAAAACAATCTATTTTGCCTTTTAAACCCAGTGGAAAGTGAATTGGTGGATATAAGACTGGCTATTCTGACACTGACATTCTATATTATAGTAGGGATGACAAGACTTGCTGCCTCAAGATCTCAATTAAAGTAGGTTATTGATCCTTAGGAGATTCCAAAGGTTTTCAAGGGGACTTAAGGCTAAGTCAGGAGTACCGACAGAAAAAATGCCACACAAAACTGATTGTACTTGTATAGAGAGAGGCTGAACATCATTTCCAGTTTAACCTTTTATATATGTCCGTTCAAGTAACGAGTCTTGTATTTGATCCAGTAGACTTGAAGTCTGACACACAGATTCAAATGACTACGAACTATCACCATCTGGATTCAGGTTACCAAAAGCATCACAGTTTGCCGCAGATTTGAGCAGCTCAAGCCATTCAGTTACTCCAATCCTTACAGTCATCCCTTGTTTTAGCATATATGCCTCTGGCCCGTCCCTAGTAAAGAAAACCAGTCCAGGAAACAGTTCCTTCACATGAACCTCCAGGATGTACTTAGACTGCCCAACGGAGTGGAGCTCAACAGCAATAGCTTTGTTAATGTCACACACTCTCAGACAGTCACCATCAGACCTCAGCCACATCATTTTCTCGGAAATTTCCTCCTTTAGCATGTCGATCAGTTTTTTTAGTATCGGACCCTTTCAACTGAAATCCCCTCACAATATTGTGTCCTGTTTTGATGTCCTTGGTTGAAGGTCCACCAGGAGATGCGGACAAGGGTGTTGATGGAGAAGGGAGTGGGGAAGTGTATTGGTGTTGAATATTTAGAGGTGGTATAGAACGAGGATGTTTCCTACGGTCTTCCCTCTTTGAGTCTCGTTCACATGCTTTATAAGCTGGAGAGGAAGGGACGGAAGACCTGGATGAGTGTCGGGGAACAGTTTCAGATGCTTTTGAAGCTGTAGGTGAAGAGATGGGAGACTTTGATGAAGAGGATAAGGACTGTCGGGGTGCAGTTCCAGAGGCTGGTTTTGTATTTCTAGAACTTCTGTGATCTTCTCGTGTTCTGCTTCTTGACCTGTAGCGTTCTGGATTCCTATCATCGTATTCACTTTTTTGACGCCTGGCATGTCTGCTGTCGACCCGAGACGCCCCTTTTGGTCTCTGGTCAACGGGTTCGTCCCAACTGGACCTTCGATGACCGTGCTTCTTGTACCTTTCAGACCCCCTTCCTTCGGTTCTCCGGCTGTCCCATTCTCTGATGTTAGATGATACATCATCGTGAAACTCCAGTTTTTGCCGAGCTCCACGTTTTCTTTCGCCACTTTCCTGCTTCAGTGGTGAGTGTACAGCCATAGCAGGCTGCTTTTCCTCCTCAATGCCAAGAAAGAACGACCCTCCGGAAACAAGTTTCGAAAACGTTGTAAGGTACTCCAAAAGGTGCAGCTTCTCAATCAGCCTGTAGACTATTTGTTCAACCCTTCCCCTGTCTCGATGGTCAAGGCTGTCCTTTTTCAGATCGTCCTCACTCATACTCTTAAACTGCACACCCCTCGACTCAATTAAATCAACGTATTCTCCTTCCTTATAAACCGTCCTCACGTTCTCAGTACAGTATCCACATCTCCGATTCTCGGACAAATAAATGGCCAGTTCGCGAGCTCTCGGTCTTTCCTTGCTTCCGTCGTAGGGCACCAAAGTGTTGAAGCTTTTAGTAGAAACTGAAGAGGAGCCTTTGACAATGACCACGATGTACTTAGCTTTATTATACTCGCCACTTTGATCCACAAACCATCTCCTTTGGTAGTTATACACAAATGGACTGTCGTCTTCAATCATGAAGGAAAGGTCTTTGGACACCTTCTGATCGAAATCATCCAAACATGGGCCACAGTTGTCGTTCTTGTTTTGTACGTGTATAGCAAGAACTCCTCCCTTGCTGTTGCGCAAGCTGCAGACTTTCCTGAAAAACGTCTCCGTGAAATGTTTGACGTGTTCTCTCTTGCGTTCGTCTCCTTTCTTGCCGCTCTGACCCAGCACCCAGTATTCCACGTGCATTGATAGGACATGCTTCTCTGATTTGTAATATGTCTTGATGTCGGGCAGGTACTTCAGACAGACGTCTACAAGGAAACAAATGTAAGGACAATGCGTATGGAGTTTCCCATCAAGTACGAGTGAGTGAATGAGAAAGAATATTTCAAGCCGCTTTGCGTAGTATTAGAAACAAGACAACACTTGTAGCCATGTTCATCGCAGGCACTTACTTGGTGACCTTAAACTGTTACGACATGAGTGTTTCGTATATTTCGTAATTTATGATGCCAAAAAGCGTCAAGTGAACGTGAAGACTTCAATATTCCAAAATCCCACTCCGATCAGTTTTGTAGTTTAATCCGAAGAACAGAAACATATTTCATGCTAAGGACATCGGCGTTGTCCAATGAGATGGTTGTGTAGCCAATCTATGAGTGTAGTTTTATGACGCCTTTAGTAATATTCCAGCAACATCACGGCCGGGCTGACTGACTGAGTTTGGTTTTACGCCGCTTAAAGCAATATTCCAGCAACATCACGGCGGGGGACACCAGAAATGGGCTTCACACATTGTGCCCATGTGGGGATTCGAACCCGGGTCTTCGGCGTGACGAGCCAACGCTTTAACCATTAGGCTACCCCACCGCCCCCACGGCCGGGGGACACCACAAATAGGAATTAGGAATATTCCAGCAATCCCACTGTAGATGACACTATTGTACCCATGATGTTGGGACCCGTGAAGATCCGGGGTAGAATAGGTCTTCAGCAACCCATGTGCTTGCCATAAAAAGGCGACTATCATGTCGTAAGAGGAGACTAACGGGATCGGGTGGTCAGTTTCGCTGACTTGGTTGACACATGTCATCGGTTCCCAATTGCGCAGATCGATGCTCATGCTGTTGATCACTGGATTGCCTGGTCCAGACTCGATTATTTACAGACCGCTGCCATATAGCTGAAATATTGCTGAGTGCGGTGTAAAACTAAACTCACTCACTCACTCACTCATGATGTTGGGAATCGAACCAGGGCCTTCGTCGTGACGAACACACTTTTTTATAAACACTGGGCCAAACCTATAACTTGATACGCCCGCTCGATTCCCAACATGGGTACAATGTGTGAAGCCCATTTCTGGTCTCCCTCGCCTTGATATTGCTGGAATATTGCTAAAACCGGCGTAAAACTAAAACTCACTCACTCACTCAGTGTAACCTGATACAGATTTTGATTTTTTTCATCTATAATGAAACACTATGGGACAGTCTTAAGGTCAAAGTCCAAATTAAAATCCTTTTGGGGCAGTATCTTGGTCAAATAAAGCCCTATCTTACTCGTTCTCACGTATGTTTTAAGAATTAAGAATGGAAATAATATTACCACACTTCTCCACGTCATCAGGAGCGCTGCAAAGAAGAAATATGGAAACTTAAACAAGCATCCAAGAAAAGTTAAATCAACTGACTGTCATTCGGAACAGTCATTTCGTATGAACCAGGTCACCATCGATCGCACACCCCTATTCAGTGAAAATGGATTCTTCAGATACACGTTGAATGCCTGCTGTTCCCCAAGCGCAGACACGTCTCAACTTGGTTTTGCAGTAGATACGAATACATTGATTTTTCTTACAATTTCGTGGTTGTTTATGTTTGTATAATTACGATCCATCGAAATAGGGCCCGTCAGTAGGTCACGGCACTTTGCAAGACCTTAAGTTGCTTAGTACTTCCGGGTTCATACCTTTTCTTATGGTCTCATGGTTGTCAGTTGAAGGTAGGGAACCGACATTTCCGATCTAACCATCACCAAATTAGCCACCTATTACGACTGTCAAAGCTGTGACAGCCAGGCATGGTTGTACACTTGGTCCGGTCTAGTAAAGTCATATTTAGCGGTCGCGCAATTTGGTTCTTGAATATACGCTTGTCACCAGCTTAGTACCGGAAGTATCGCCTTGCGAGACTTACAGGCCTTATACCGCCACCATATAGCTGGAATATTGCTGAGCGCGGCGTAAAACTAAATTCACTCACTCACTACAGGCCCTATAGTCTAGTTGTGTGACGTCAGCCTGTAACGTAAATTAGACGAGACAAACCGATGACTGATATCATGAGCAACGATCCAAGCAAATGGGGTACAATGACATGCAAGTCACTGAGTACCTATTACGATGAGCAAAATTTGTTGGGCACCACATCTATCTCCAAATCCTGGCACTATGACTTGGATGGCGTACATGTGAAACACTACATTTTAATGAAAATGACAACTCGTGAAGATCCGGTTAGAATTGGTCTTCAGCAGCTCATGTTTGTAGTAAAAAACGACTGACTTGGTTCACACATGTAATCGTATCCCAGTTGTGTAGATCGATGTTCATGCTGTTGATCACTGGATTATCTAGTCCGGACTCGATTTCCAGACCGCCATCATATAGCTGGAATATTGCCGAGTGCGTCGTTAAATAACGAACAATGAAAGTCACGAACAGATTTTTTTATAAGCGTTTTTTTACTTATTTGTATTTTGGGGGTTACAGACAATATTGGAAGGTTTAAATAATATTGGAATAATGTTTCCGTTTTTCAAATTCACAAAGTCGCCTATATGATTCAATTTTGAATGTTCGTTTGATTACGGAAACTGTTAGACATTAACGGAATGCAGCGAAACAGTGACTCTACATTTATAAATTTTGTTTTCATTATATCTTTTAACTATTGAAGTTTCAATTCCGGGTAATTCTTGTGGACAGCTACAATCGAGAGAAAAACAAATTGCGTTTCTCATTTTCGAGCTGTGTTGCCTCTAGATTTATCTACGCTATATTGGAACGAGCACAGGCCTACATAGTTCTGAATGAGTTGTGAAATCACACACAGATCATAGCCTTAATAATAAGAAAGAGCTAATAAGTAAGGAATCTGAATACCGAAATATGATCACAAATATTTATATGTCATTCACAGGCATTACAGATCTGCTTAAAAACATTCTTTGCAAACCTCTGACGCTTATCTGCACTTGACAACTGACTTCCGCTCTTCGTGCCGCCTTCCGCCATGACGTCCTGTGTAAGTCATGCGAGAGTCATTTGGCTTTGATAATTCTAGATTTCTTCCCAGGCAAGATCACTGTTCTGGTTTGGAATTACCTGAAATAGAACATGTCACCGGTCGTGACTCTCGATTGATTTCGAAATTCGCTGGTTAAAAATAGCGCCACGTTACAGTGACTCAGCTGGATATATGGTCAACAGCTAAATGATGAATATTGCTATTCAAGAGTGTTCTGAATAAATAAATAGTTATTCTAACGCAATGACTTCATAGTAGACCATGACGATCCGCGTGAGAATTGGTTTTCACAAACCCATGCTTGTCGTAAGAGGCGACTAACGTGATCGGGTGGTCAGGCACGCTGACTTGGTTCACACATGTCACCATATCCCATTTGCGTAGGTCAATGTTCATGTTGTTGATCACTGGATATATTGCTGAGTGCGGCGTTAAACAACAAACCAAGCAACCATTAAGTAGTCGGGTCTGCATTTATATCAAACCGGTGACTGAAACCATGAGCAACAAACCAATGGAGCGCAACATGAGAGAGGCACCCGATCCTATACTGACACACAAAAGAAAGTACACAACTGATGATTTGGCACAATCTCCAGCAAACCTCCTACAGGCAGTTATCAGAAATTTGACCGGAAAAATCAATAATATGACCGGAAAATTGCAATCACCCACAGGCAGTTATCAGTAATATGACCTAAAAAATTGCAACCACCCACAGGCAGTTATCAAAAAGTCATCTTCACCTTTTCTGTGGGTAATATTTTTAGTTATCTAGTTACTATTTTTCACTTTAACGAAAGGTTTGAGGGAGTACTGTTATCATTTTTATTGCATCTGAATTCAATAATGAATAAAATGTAAGTTTTTTTCTATATAAAGAGAAACGTTGTTGCAATATCGTAGTTATTAATTAGGTCCAACATCCAAAAATAATTCAATATTATTTAACATTAATGTAGCGGTTTAGATGAGGGAACAGTCAAATATATTTTGTTCAAGTTATATTATTGATGTTTTAAATATTTGAAGCATGTTCCAGTTTATTCGTAAAAATGAAATTTTACTTTGTCATCTGTATGTAATGTCAAATAAAACTGATTTATCCTCATTTGATTTGTGTGATGAAATTGGTGTGATGGCAGAGTATAAATCTGATTTGTTTTCTGCCACGATATTGAAGAATGCTTTTGATTGGTTAAAATCGATATCTTTTTTTAATACTTAGCATCGATATGAAGTCAATTTCTGTTTTAATATTGCTGGAATATTGCTAAAAGCTCACGCCTCAGTATGAGGGTGAAGTCCATTTCTGGTGTCCCCATCGTGATATTGCTGGAATATTGCTAAAAGCTCACGCTTCAGTATGAGTGTGAAGTCCATTTCTGGTGTCCCCATCGTGATATTGCTGGAATATTGCTTAAAGCGGCATTAAACCAAACTCACTCACTCACGCCTCAGTATGAGTGAGGTACCCAAATGAGGAAATACGGTACGTTTGTGTTGGATGTTTTGACATGTTCGAAGACAAGGTGACACACGGAATGAAAGCGTATCTTTTTCATACAAACAGCAGGGCTCCAGATAATTATTTAGACTCAAGGGTATTTCACTCCTCAAAATTAAAAATGAGGAGTAAAATGCCAAATGGAATAATTGATGAGGAGTATTTCACTGATTGCATGGTTTTATTACTTTTCCTTGCTATTTAAAACAGTTTTCCTTTCAAACAAACTCAACGAGTTTCTTTTGGTTAGTCATTCTTACTGCAGACAGGAAATAAATGACAATGCGCGTTCAGCTTTTTCGCATTAAATGTTTTCCTATGCTGGTTTAGGGCCATCACGTAATCTACAGTAGCCCTAAAGCTGCATTTTTACTGATATTTATAACATATGTTATATTTGGGATAACACTTTCTTAATAAAGTACAAATTCTAGACTAGTACTTTTGTTGGGTTGAGTCCCACCCGGGATTCGAACCCATACTACTGATATTGGATCGAAACGTTGTGACAGTAACGTTGTTTAGGGCTAGCTTTTCAACAAAGCCTGCCCCGAACGTGAATTAGAAATATTAAGGGAAATTATACGCAAAACTCGACAATCTTGGTTACAATATTTTGACAGGTTTGGTTCACGCATGTAAACAAAATCTGCATTGTATTCTGAGGAAGTAATGCGTATCTTTCACTCCTTGATTTGACTTTTTAAGCGTATATCTGAATTATTCATGCGAATTTTACGCAGATACGCATCTTATCTGGAGCCCTGTTCAAACACTAAAGTGTTTATACATATAACTTTCTCGGACATGCTCAGTAATCTTCTTAAAAAACGACGCTATGACGTTTGGTAGATTTGGGTGCGGTGAATAGAGAATCTCACCCAAGTGTCTACTGAAATCAATTATATCAACGAGTTGATAAAGTTACAAATACCGGAGGCTTGCTGAGGATAGTTTTACTTTTATCAACTAGTGTTGATATATATTTGATATCAGAAGACACGAGGGTGAGATTCTCTTTATCATAAGAAAAACACTCTTCATTTGTTTTCAATAAAAACTGTACGTCTCTGAGCAAGTAGACTATCTGTACAGCCATTTGACTTGCTGTGCAACGATATCATCGCATTGTCATAACGCGTCATATTGTGATGTCATCAGGTTTCCAACGTCATAGCACTGTGGGCAATGTAATTGATTATGTGAGGGCATTATCTTACTTTCATATAAATACTTTAATTTCATTGGTCAATGACGCTTTAACAAGTTTCCGTGTCACCCCACCCATGAGGAAACTGGAAAAAATATTACCCGCTGCCACGGTAACCGCCAAACTCTCCGCCGAGAAGCTGTATCGCTAACAATCGTATGACGTCATAATATGACGCATGCAGTGCCCGGAGTTCGAAAACCGTTCCATTAGCGGTTTTTAAGTGCACTATGTACACATTTATTTTACTGACTTTCACTGCTTTATTTAAAGTATTTTGTATATTGAATCGTTTGCTCACTCAATTAATTAACCATTTTTGCAGCAGTTTTAAGCTTGTCAGAATGTGTTTCACTGATTTAAAAAATCCAGTCGAGAGACAGACAACATTTTGTTAATACATGTCATGTAGTCGGTACCGATGTTTAAAACAAAATAAAATGACATTTCGTACATTTAACATGGCGGTAAGATAAATACGTTGTATGCTTCTCTCGAGGGTACGTAATACGGTCTGATGTACGCCTCTTTGTAGCAGTGTCACCCGAACTGGAACACAGTTTTGGATGATAATGCCCATTATGTTTCTGATCTGCACCAGAGCATTGCAATTTTCATCATTGTTGCAAGCACAACCGTATACTTTCATCTAAGTTAACCTTATATCTTCGGGTGGTCGAGCTCGCTGAGACTTGGTTGACACATGTCATCGTATCCCGTAGATCGATGCTCATGCTGTTGATCACTGGTGATTGTCTGGTCCAGGCTCGATTATTTACAGACCGCCGCCATATAGCTGGAGTATTGCTGAGTGTGGCGCAAAACTAAACTCACTCACTCTGGACATTCGATCCGGTTTACTGGCCACGGCAGGTATGTTAAAGGATACGTTGACCTCGACCCGGGACCCTATGGGGTTAAGGTTGGTTAGGGGTTAATGAGGCGATGTGGGGGTTGATGAGGCTGGGGGTTGTTAACTCCGGTTAAAGACAAAACAGAGAGAGCATACATACAGCAATACCTAAGCGACAAATTACACCCACTACAAAATCTGTATTTTGTGAATATCTTCCCGGAACAACATCGTTAATTTCACCAATGTAAGCGTAGCCTCCTGCGATGATGTAACGTTCAAGACTGACACTGGGCGGACAGAAGAACTACAAAAGATCAGGTATAGTCTCTGAATATGACTGAATAAATGTTGTTTTGAGTTTTGAGATGTTCCCTCGAGGTTCACAATCGATATCCATAGTAAATCTGACCCGAATTCATGCACGTGAAACACATGCTTACGTCACATGTCAGACATTACATCCATTCGGAATGAGTTGATGAAAACAATCACGAAAAAATAATTAGTAATATAGGTAACTGTTTTAATAGGCGATCACCGTGACATTAAAAATAGGTTCCTGTTGAGTCACGGAGAAACATGAAGGCACATGTAAACGCTTTGACACTGAAACCAATGAGACATGGGTTCCATAACTTTGAAATGTAATTAATTACATTACAATTACTTTGATTTTCCTCAATTACAATTACACCTTAAATTAAAATTACAATTACACCTAAATTAAAATGTAATTAATTAAATTACAATCACAAAAATAAAAAGATATCTGCAAAAATGCAGTCCCAAAAGATTGATTGACAATTCAGCTGTGGAAGCAATGGAAAGGTCGCGTAATATTCAGATTGCTCGTTGTCTTTGCTCCGGCGAATAAGAAAGACATAACCTTTGACGTGAATAATATAACGGGTATGCTGGCGTGTGATTTCAAGCATGACGTATACAGCTATTTCAAATACAAGGTCACAGTGGTTATCAAGTACATATATCCCTTGGCGAATCACACATACACAGTCATCTCCCGTCTGAAGAAGTATTATAATGTTCATTTTGATACCAGTTTTGTTGTATGTTCTTTACAAGTATGGTTTTAAGTCGCTATTAGCAATATTACAACGACGTCATTGGAGAGAGAGAGAGAGAGAGAGAGAGAGGAGACCCACATATGGGCTTCACACATAATAGCAGGGTATGTAACTCACAGGGCTGGTTAAACGTGAAACATGCCATCCCTGACCAAAACTTACCTGCCCACAAAATATCTTCATATAGAAGTATATTTTTTAACCCGACCGTCGGCAGGTGAATTTGAGAATGGGGCAGTTCGTGTTGAAAATAACCCGTCCCGGTCGGTCGGGCAGGCGGGTATTTCGAAAGCTGATACTACCCATACTATCTTTCGATCCCACAACGGCGGTGGAGTAGCCTAGTGGTTAAAGCGTTCGCTCGTCAAGCTGAACACCCGGGTTAGATTCCTCACATGGGTATAATGTGTGCAGCCCATTTCTGGTTTCCCCTGCCGTGATATTCCTGGAATATTGCTAAAACTCACTCGATTGATCCCGCATTGTTTCCGATTGCTTAACGGACTCCCCAAAATTCCATGACGCTGTGAGATTATACCACTGAACAGGGATGAAATATCTGTGACACTGTGGTATACATGAACACTAACCTGATGTTTGGACGTGTTGTAGCAGAAACCTCCACGGGGTTGACTGATTGGTACTCGGCGATGTTGTAAGGGAAAACCCGTCGCTGTCAGCGCTATTTTAAGACCTGTACAAGTTGATATTCAATGCAATGTTTACATCGGCAACTGACCACAGCGGGCTTGAAGTAAGAAGCAACATCGCATCACTTCCTGGTATAAATAATAATATCGAAAGGGACATAACTGCTCAAGGATTGAATACTTCCGGCTCGTGAGCATTACGTAAACAGCGAATATCCCGAGCTGATCCGAATGCCTGGCCCGTTGATCAATGCCAAGTGTCGTACTATGGACTGAGTCAACCCGAATGAACTGATTTTGTAGCACCGATTCCCGAGGAATTGGGTGTTAGCTGGAAATCCGAGTTAGTTGGAAGTTGCAGCGTGTGAAAGTGTTCAGTTGGTCACAACTTGTAGCATTGATTTTGGTCACGCACATACACAATGTCGCCGTGAAATATAATCACTAAGGATGCAATGTGATTCGGTTTTCGCTTCCATAAATTTAAAACTGTGAGTAAGTGAGTATAGTTTTACGCCGCACTCAGCAATTTTCCAGCTATATGGCGGCGGTCTGTAAATTATCGAGGCTGGACCAGACAATCCAGTGATCAACAGCATGAGCATAGACCTACACAATTCGGATACGATGACATGTGTCAACCACGTCAGCGAGCCTGACCACCCGATGCCGTTAGTCGCCTCTTACGACAAGCATGGGTTGCTGAAGACCAATTCTAACCCGGATCTTCACGGGTATTATCATAACAGACTGTAGATAAAATCTACAGTCTTGAAAATCGAGAAGAAAAGGAGTGTGCTGGTTAAGTTTTCCTTCCGAATGGGAAATACAACATGGACGGAGATCAAAGAGAATATTTAATTAAAGCAAAAATACAAGAAAGATTCCAGATGATTCAACACATGACTTCAACATTCAACGCAGTTTGTACAATCGTACAATCGTAGAAGCATCTACGCCCACTCCACATCACAAGCAAACAGACAAACTGCTTGAAATACCGCTCAAAACATTGAAAAACATATACCCCTTCCCTTAAGTGTCGTCACGTGACTACGTGGAGAACAGTCCCGTTTTGTTCCACATTTAACAAAAGACGTGCCGCACGTGTTGATCCGCGATTGGTAAATTCTTCGTGTCGAAAGAGACTGAAAGTTTGAGGCTACAAAATGTTGAGCATTCAGCCATTCTTCGTTGTGATTATCAGACAAGATTGTCCGGCATACATTCGTGCATAAAATGTGAGAGAGAAATCATTCTTTTTCTTCATATTAAACAATTAGACAAATGTCTCAGTACAACCAAATACACCCAGATTGCAATAAAACAGTCACCAGTTACAAGTGAAGTTCGAGAGAAACTGCTATTTAAAGTGTTTATGCTGCGGACTTGTTGGAACAGTTCACCATTGCAAGGGGGTGCAAAATCAGGTTCAACTGTTGAAAAACAGGATGATAACATCTAAAATTGTCACTAGAGTCTACCTTATTCTAAAATTAACTAGGTCTCCTGTACAAATTATTGCACATGATATTATGCACTGTTGTGACGATCCGCCCGGAGAGCGGAAGGTCGCGGGTTCGATCCCCGGTCTTGTCATACCAAAGACGTTAAAATATGGTACTTGTTGGTCAATGCCTGGCGCTCGGCATTAATAGGTAAAACAAGGCTGGTTGGCTCGGTGTCAGTATAATGTGTCTGAGTGGGGTATTCATGCATAACTGCGGCATGGTATCTCAGTGGGCTAGCACTTAAGTCTGGGCTAGTACAAGCAGCCACAGAGACACGCGCATGCACGTCGACATATGAGGGATCTTAAGTACGACATAAACCCCAATTTCACCTCACATGTTATGACCAATAGTTTAATATCAAGCATATTTGTCTCAAAATTCCTAACGGGATCGGGTGGTCAGGTTCGCTAACTTGGTTGACAAATGTCAACGTATCCGTATGCTCATACTGCTGATCATTGGATTGTCTGGTCCAGACTCGATTATGTACAGACCGCCGCCATATAGCTGTAATATTGCTCAGTGCTGCGTAAAACTTCTGTTTCGGATCGCTGGAGTTTTCGAGGATTTTGAAGTAACTGAAAACAACTGGACATGTTCAAAACATTGACGGACAACTTACTCTTTTGTACTTTTGTTTTATACTTGAACTGTATTTTGACGTAATAAGTGGAGTGTTTGGCTACAACGAGGTAAAATTATTGGGGCAGTGATTTGAACATGTTCAAAATTATTTTTTGATTGCCGAGGGGCATTTGTGAAACAGTTTAGCCTTATCAATACGGTACCCTACGCTTGTAACGAACTGACGGATGAAACGAATTGTTTGTTTGACCTGCCCACTTGTGTATCATAGTTGAAATATTGATAACGAACTACGGTTAAGACGAACTAAAATGCGTGGTCCTTTTAAGATAGTTTTAACCCTTCTTTACTCGGTTTATATCGTCATAAGTGAATGAGTGAGAATAGGTTTTCGTCGCCTACAGCAATATGTCAGCAATATCATGTCGGTGCACTCCAGAAACCGGTTTGGAACATGGTTGCCATGCAGGGAATCGATCCCGGGTCTTAGATTTGAGGACGCAATACTGACTGACTGAGTTTGGTTTTACGCCGCTTTTAGCAATATTCCAGCAACATCACGGCGGGGGACACCAGAAATGGGCTTCACACATTGTACCCATGTGGGGATTCGAACCGGGTCTTCGGCGTGACGAGCCAACGCTTTAACCACTAGGCTACCCCACCGCCCCTGAGGACGCAATACACCTAGGCCACCCTATCGCCCCATGTTGTAATAGGGGTATAATATGAAACGGAAAAATATATCCCCCGATATTTAAAGTTGGCATGACAGATTAATAATTGAAATACGAAGAGTGAGTGAGTTTAGTTTATGCCGCTTTCAGCAATATTCCAGCAATATCACGGCGGGGGACACCAGAAATGGGCTTCACACATTGTACCCGCCGGGTCGTCGGCGTGACGAGAGACCGGTTTAACCACTAGGAAACCCCACCGCCCCTGAAATATGAAGAATCGTGTGGTCTTTGCCGACTTTTATCCGGCGTTCTCGGTGTCAAGGTAGATAATCTAATCCATGTCCAACATCTCCGAACAACCAAGCAGATTTATCGGCCATCTTGCTACTCACAATATCCCTAGCAAATGTTGGGTAGTATGAATAGTGTTCCGTCACAACACGTCTGCCCTATAGCCTAATACTTTCGAAATCCACATCAATACAAAACGGGAATTGTTAATTCACAGGTGTTGATATACTATGTCGGCATCAAGTCCTTTGGCAAATCAAAATAAACTTTCGTTGCTTCGGAATGATTTCGGACAAAGTGCATATCTTCTAGTTCAACAACATCCTCATTTGGGAAGGGCGTCCAGATTGTCAGGGAATAGCCACGTGACTGGCGTAAGAGCCAAAGAAGGTTCTCCCATGATTTCCGCACAAGTGAGGCTCGAACGGGGAAGGTAACTGGTTGACGTAACATGATGGCGTGTGTATTCATTGTCTGCACCATAGATAATGAATAACCGACGTTATCACCAGTTTTGAGCCATTCTGTCGTCCAACCAAGTGAAAGTGTCACTTCCGGGAAAATGGCGTCTATTTTCGAGAGAAACACGCTCGCGTTCAGTCCTTTCTTGTCTGTATTTGGACCTGTCAAAATGTCAGCGTTTATCCAAAGAGGCGCTGTGATTCCACCGCCATTATTAATCTCAGCAAGAAGTCTCAGTGATGGTTCGACCGATTCTAAGTCTTTAAAATCCAGCTTGATGCCTTTACCGGAAGTCCCAGCCATACGTAAGAAGTCCTTGACATTCAGATCACTATGTACTTCCGGTGGATGCGCCATTATAGGAATGGCGGTGTCATCTTTGGAGTCCTGGCTAACGAGCAGCACGTCACTTTCTATAAACATCGTATCACCTGTAACAACGAAAGTACTAGTGTCATAAACTCACGGGCGAAAGATACGTCACCAAAATGATTTTTATATCTTTTATCGTACACTAAGTGATTATTCATATGAGTAGTTCACACTTTCACCATTCAGAATGTTGTAAATCCGTTAATTTTCCACATATGATTGTTAAATTGTCTTGTGACCTGTTAAAAAAACCATGGGTTGTAAACTACTCAGTCCTCCATAAGGATTATACTACTCAACTCTTCACAAGGATACTCATCTGTGTCGTAAAATGTAAATATACCACTAAAAACATTCAAAAAAATATTCAGTCGGACTGGCAACTTTGCAAAATGTCCATAAAGGGTAAACATCAGTTATGTCATTCTAATGTTATTCTCAGAAAAAATAATAACCTTGAGGACTGTCAGCATTAACCCACTAAAATTGTATTCATCCAAATCCAAGTCCGATGTATCCAAACTATCATAGATTTACGATAGTTTGGTCGCTAAAAATTGAAATTTTAAGCGTCGGGTTTCCAATAAGCGCCGGCCACTATTCAGCGCCGGGTCTGAAAGTTTGCTAAATTGATAAGCGCCTGGGCGCTTGTTATAGGAAATACGGTTTGTTATATCTTGGATTACACTTTCCAAGTAAAATAAAAATTCTAGTACTTTTAGGGGTTAAGATCCGTGAATTGCTCTTCAGTAACCCATGCTTGTTGTAGGAGGCGACCAACTGGATCGGGTGATCAGCCTCGCTGATTTGGTTGACACACGTCATCGTATCCCAACAGCGTAGATCATTGCTCATCATGTTGATCACCGGATTGTCTGGTCAATACTCAATAATTTACAGACTGCCGCCATATAGCTGGAATATTGCTGAGCGCGGTGTTAATCGACAAACAATATTAATGAAATTGAAATGCTTAAATGACTTCACAAAATATGGAAATCAGAAAAAATTGGAGTCGCGGTGGGCGAGCTGGCTAAGGCGCCAGGCTAGTGATCCAGCGAGGTTGAGGTGTCGGGATCGAGTCCACCTGTGACCGGGTGTAAAAACCTTGGAGTCAACTTTGTGTGCAGACTCTTTCAGTGTTGTCACAAACCCTTTTGTGCAGTACACAACCCTGTGCACTTAAAAGAACCCACGAATCCGTTGGTATATGACCAGATGGTGGCCACATGAATACGTGCAAACATCTAGTTGCGGGTACAGCAACGTGCAGTGAACTTGGACAAAGTACTGTGACTATGTGTCCCAGTCCACCCTGCTGTGAGTGGGTACCTCGTTAGGATGAGAAAGCCACAATAACTCGGTGCGCCTAGTGGCAGCAAGAGTTGTATACTCTCCAGGGAGTTGAGAATGATAATACGGTGTGCCGTTGAGATATACATCCAAAAATACCAGCGCCTTGAGCATGCACCAGTTGCCTGGATATGTGCGCTATATAAATATACTATAATAATATAATTAAAAAAATAAGAATCTTGGAAAACAAACAAAGGGTTGAGCCCTGTCGGAGATACGAAGTAACTCTCTCAGAGTCAGACACCTAACAGCCAGCAGTCAGCGATGTCGACGAGTGGACACTCTTGGTAAATAATTGAGTGAAGAGTGCGTGAGTTGTGTGAGCGGGGGACACTAGAAATGGGCTTCACACATTGTATCCATGTGGGGAATAGAACCCGGGCCTTCAGCGTGACGATCGGTCGAATTAACCACTAGGCTACCCCACTGCCCATGATGCTTGAGGAACACTTCTGCATTTCGGTTTACAGCAAGTTCGTTGTTAATCATACAGTAAATGGTGCCAAATTTCAAACTATTTTCGGGCAATATAGATAACAAGTGTTTAAAGTGATGCCCAAATGAGAAATGTTTTTCTTTAGTCAACCTCGCAAATAACATTACCTTTCATAGTCTCCTTCAAATACTTCATATTTGTCACACGATGAGCCCACGTTATTTTCGCAGCATCTTGTAGCCCAAAATAATGCAGAGGACTTCCTGCCGTTACTGCGGCTTTCCGGAAGCGGTCCATATTCGCTTCCGGTATGTCAAAAAACACCCTCTCCTTCGGCCAATCGTTCCGAACGAAGAGAAGGTCAAAGACTGATACCCCGGAACAAAAGTAATTACTAGAGGAATAAGTTATAATTAAAGATATGTCTTGGGACTGATTGAGTAGCCATCTAACCGGAAGCCATGACCTTCTTATGACCGAGGCACAGACTGTGATGAAGATGGGCTGTTTGAAATTGCGAATCTGTTTCCATAACGCCTCCATATACCGCTGGTGTACTGTGTTGGTGACAGAGGAAGGAATATGGCCGACACTGAATGTAACTGCCGGGTACGTCGTTCGTATTTTGTAGAAGAACCTGAGAAAACAAAACCAAAAAACATTAACTGAATTTTTTTGCGGAAATAATACATTTTGAAATGGATTGGGGGAGCCTTAGGATCTTTGCTGGAGACATATTTCTTCTTCTGAGACAAGTTCTGCCACATATCCAAGCAGATTACCGTGAGTGAGTATATAGTATGACCAGAAATTATTGAGAATTTTAGGAATATGTTTAAATGGATTTCTAGTATAAACAACCTTGACCAGCTATCAAGTGCTTGGTTTCATTCAAGAGAGACAACTCCGTTAATCCGTTTTCATTAGTTTGTGAAGAGTTATCGCCCTTTATTTACTCGCTAGCAGACGGCATTTTCAGTGATCCTCAGTATGGATGATTTAGAGAAGAGGAAGTTGATTTTAGAGTATTATAACAAGGACATCAGATCAGCTAAAGTGATTTCACGTAGAACAGGCATCCCTTTGTCCACTGTTTATCGTGTTTTGAAAAATATTGCAAATGGATATGACAATGAGCACCAAGAAGGCGCAGGTAGGGACAGAAAATTGACTGTCGGTGACAGGAGGCGGCTTGGTATTCTTGTTTCTAAAAACAAACGAAGGAGTTTAGAAAACTTAAGGCTGGATATGATTGATAGGGGAACTGTGGCTGTCTGTAAGGAGACAATTAGAACTGAGCTGCATGCAATGGGTTGGCAGAAAAGTCGAGGAATTCCATCACCGATCATGAAACCTGAACAAAAGGAGCGAAGGTTGAACTGGTGCTTACAGCATAGAAATTTTAACTGGGACAATGTGATTTTCTCAGATGAAAGTGTGGCTGTTTCCTAATACACTGAAATTCTCGACCAAACAAACTGAAAAAACCTTTGTATCAGCGCCCAAAGTACAGTCCGACAATTAACGTGTGGGGTGGCATATCTGTGTTAGGGGCAACGCCCCTCTGTGTATTTGAAGGGAATATGAACAGTGAGCGGTACACAGATATTCTCGAGGGACATTTACTTCCATCTGCTCACGTGTTCTATGGAATTTTTTGGATTTTCCAGCAGGACAACGACCCAAAACATCGTTCAAAGCATTCACAGGCCTGGTTTCGGACCCAAATATGACATTATTAGATTGGCCAAGCTATAGCCCTGACCTAAATCCAATAGAAAATGTTTGGGGACTTGGCCTGCATTGCTGCCCATGGTGACTTGACAAAATACTAACTGTTCACCTGTCTTTGAATCTGGAGTTATGTTCTGCTAATAGTCACATTAAATATTTGAGTAATGAGTGAAAATTAAAAAAAAAATTACAATCTTAAATTCTCAATAATTTCTGGTTGTACTATACTTTTACGCCGCTTTCAGCAAATGTTTAGCAATATCGGGGAAAGGGGGGACACAAATGACATCAATGTGAGGAATCGGAAACGGGTCTTTGACATGATGAGCGATCACTTTAACCACTAGGTTACCCCACCTCTTACATTATGCTTGACGTAAGAGGCGACTAACGGTATCGGGTGGTCAGGCTCGCTGACTTGGTTGACACATGTCATCGCATCCCAATTGCGTACATCGATGCTCATGCTGTTTATCGGTGGACTGTCTGGTCCAGAGACTATTTACAGACTGCCGCCATGTAGCTTGAATAGTATGGGGTGCGGCATCAATCTAACCCGGATCATGGACATTCATATGAAATATATCATATTTTTAGCCTGTTTGTATAAGTTCTTATGATAATGCATAACTGAATACAACACAAACACAAACTGATCCGTGCTAACAAAAAAACTCTCCAAAACAATCAGACAAGAGTGCCTCACACATCAGCCAGAAGCGCGCCTTGTTCTTCAGCGTTATCGAGTGCGACATCTCCGTGGACGATGACTGGGTAGTGAATGTTGTAATTGTTGTCGTCGAGATGAAGCAGGCAGGTCTCCAGCACGCTCATGTTCTAAACACAACAACAAATAGTTATAGGGTATATTAATTTCAATGTGTGTTTGCTTTTGTTCCAGAATCACAATCAGCAATTTGATAACCCAAACATGCACCAAAGTGAATATATTTTTAGGCCGCCTTTAGCAATATTGAAGGATTATAACGTGAAATCTGACTGGAAATTGTACAAATTTGCCATATATTCCTTTAATCCAAATATTTATCTTGTTAACATAGACAGATACGCACACACGCACGCACACGCGGGTACGAGCATAATTCTCAATCCAAGTTCCATTCATTGTCATGACAACCATAAAACATATAAAACTCCCCAAAGCGTGTAAAGACACCAGCTCTCCACCAATCTGATCAGTATAGCAAGCGTTTCATCTAGAAATATTCAACGGTTTAGGCGTTCTGACATGCTTATCGCTCTGTCCCGTTTTCCACACCCATGGGATAAAAATTCGATCTGGATGTCAGGAAATGCTGTTTCAGTGTATCACCGCTAGGTTTCCATAATCACATCGGCATCGGGCGAACCAGCACGATGGAAGCATGCGGTGGAAGATAACACCAGCAAGCTGTTGGATTAATTCCGTTACACCGATTCTGTTACACGTACGTACACGTCAGCACAGTACAATGAAGTGATATACGTCCCTAAATGCCTCAGTCATCAATATCAATGTGGTCTCTGTACTCTAAGTTGGACCACATTAACCCAAAACTGATAAACTATTCATGGGTAAGCATTCATCTAAGCAAGGGAGGGATTTGGGGTTATTCCGGAAATATCGCTACAAACATTGTACCCATGTGGAGATTTCAAACGCGGGCCTTCGGTGTGAGTGAGTGAGTTTAGTTTTACGCCGCACGGCAGTAAAACGTCAATCGACATTTGGTTTGTTGTGTAAGGCCGCACTTAGCAATGTTCCAGCAATATGGCGGCGGCCTGGACCAGACAATCCAGTGATCAACAGCATGAGCATCGATCTAAGCAGTTGGGGTACGATGACATGTGTCAACCAAGTCAGCGAGCCTGACCACCCGATCCCGTTAGTCGCCTCTCAGGACAAGCATGTTTTACTGAAGATCTATTCTAACCCAAATCTTCACGGGTTGGGCCTTCGGTGTCAAGTGGAGCGAACGAATTACTTATTAGGCTAGCCGACCTCTCCACATCTGTTGTAACCATCAGATCAGCATTTCAGTGGGCACCAACCGGTTTAAGGGCCTGACCACGATGGGTTTGTGTGTGTGTGTGTGTGTTGGGGGGTTGGGGTGGGGCTTGGCGTGTGCGTGTGTGCATGAGAGCGTTTTGTTTTCGTTGAGTTATATATTCAGTTTAGTTTCGAAGCCTTTGATCCTGCAGTGTCTTAAACATTCAAACAGGTTCTACTAACATCGTTCGCCGTAACAATATCGTCAGGGTCACCTCACCTTGAAGTTCAGCTTCAGTCCGACGTCCTTGACTTTCCTGGCGTGGTCCATCCACAGGTTGAGAGTCGTCTTGCTGTCAATGTCCACGCTCATCATTCTGTTGGCCCCTGGAACGTTGCCATTAGTGAGTGAGTTTGGTTTCATTATGCTTTTAGCAATATTCCAGCAACATCACGGCGGGGGACACCAGAAATGGGCTTCACACATTGCACCCATGTGGGGAATCGAACCCGTGACGAGCGAACGCTTTAACCAATAGGCTACCCCACCGCCCTAACGTGGCCATGAAAGTTGTCTAGAACATCGACGTATTGTAACCGGAAATGAGACTCTTTCAAATTAATTACAATATGTGGAAATTCCAGAATACTTAATAAATTCGTGACATTTGTGGAAATGTTTTCATCTTGCTCCTGTTGTCTTCAAGAAATCAAGGAGAGTCGCAGTTTTTAAGATTGAATATGTGCCTATGGCGCGTCTCTGAATTGGGCGCCTTCCCACAGAGCGGAAGCATGGGAAGGTGGGTGGATTCAACTTCCCGACCATGTCGTTCCAAAATAGATTGAAAGACGGAACCTGTTGTTACCGTGCCTGGGGATAAAATAGCAGATTCCTTCAGTCGCCTCTTACAACAAGCATAGGTTGATGAAGACCAATGCTAACTCGAATCTTCACGGGCCTTCTTTTTCACCAAAGTGAGACCCAGATCACCTTGGGCTTTCACCTCGGGCGTTCACCTTGAGCGTTCCTCAAACATTCCAGTGACAAACCGATATAACTTGAACAATGTTCAAAGTAGCTTTGAACCCGGCTCAATCACTCACTCACTCAAATCTAATCCAATTGTAACATCTAAATTCAAATAATCATAGCACACTATCTGAACCAAACCCGAGGAAAAAATCTTTTGACAAATCAAACCATTTCCCATTTCAACGACTGACGACGAAAATAACGTTCCAGAATTTGTTTGAAATACAACAATCAGCTTCAGAGTTCGATGATTGCACGCATACGCTGGTTGTGATGGCTGCTATTTACGCACCGACTATGCCGAGATCAGATGATGATGCATGCTGCCATTTCATGTCAATAGGATCGTGAAGTTGGAAGAACTTGAGAAGGGGCGACTGGAAGCCTGGTTCGTCTTGTATCTTGACTTGCAGTAACTCTGAAACGGAAGGGAAATACTTTCATGAAGTTCAAGGTAAAACGACATCATTAACTGCTGCCTCCACCCCCATCTCCTACAGTTTCTATCTTTGGGACATGTTAGACATGATCTTCGGTAACCCATGCTTGTCGTAAGAGGTGACTAACGGGATCGGGTGGTCAGGCTCGCTGACTTGGTTGACACATGTCATCGTATCCCAATTGCGCAGATCGATGCTCATGCTGTTGATCACTGGACTGTCTGGTCCAGAGTCGATTATTTACAGACCGCCGCCACATGCTAGCTGGAATATTACTGAGTGCGACGTAAATCTAAACTCACTCTATCTTTGAATACACCACGGACTAACGCTTTGTCTCTGAATGTATATAATTCTGATATTAACATATAATCCCAGTTAAACTGAAAAGTAGCCCCAGTGAGATGGGAGATTCCTGAACCTGATGAAATCTTGACTTGCTTCATTCAGGGCTAGACAGTAGGAAAAATAATGTTTTTCAGCCACTGAGTGACAGACTAGATACGTTACTTTCACGATTCCACATGATATTTGCACATTATCAACATCAGCCAGCTGCTGCCTATTCGTCAACGGAATAGATATGCCACGATGAGTAATGTCGCTTTAGAAATATTAGGGCCGGCGACTTGAACAACACTGTTCTTACAGATGTGACCCGTGAAGATCCGGAGTAGAGTAGGTCTCCAGCAACCCATGCTTGCCACAAAAGGGGACTATGCTTGTCGTAAGACGCGACTGACGGGATCGGGTGGTCAGGCTCGCTGACTTGGTTGACACGTCATCGGTTCCCAATTGCGCAGATCGATGTTCATGATGTTGATCACTGGATTGTCTGGTCCAGACTCGATTATTTACAGACCACCGCCATATAGCTGGAATATTGCCGAGTGCGGCGTAAAACTCAACTCACTTACTCTTACAGATGTAGACGTACGTTCATCAACTCAACTGCCGGTTCTAGTTTCAAGAGTCGTTTGTGTCAAACGGAATACTTCGGGAACTGTCGGCTAATTATCGGAAGTTACGTGTTCGCTAAGATTGTATTATCCGAGTTCGAGTCCCTGATCTACGCTGATTATATTTGTATGTTTGTCAGCCCCATACCATGGCTTGTGGGTTTCACCATTGTAGTAAATATTCAAAACCCACATAATACCGGACTTCGAACCCACAATGAGCAGACAAACCGTGATATCCTGAGTCTGTTTAAAACGGCGTTTGACCCAAATAACACATTTAACGGTAGTTAGGTTGTGTGAACATTTATTTCTCAAGCATGTGTGTGAATGTATCAGTTACTGGTTCGGCTAGAGGGATTAGTGATGTCATTCGATTGTGACGTCATGGTGACGATGACGTCACAATGTATGTACAAGAAAATCGATTCCATTGTAGCTATATATCACAGAAGTATAATCATGGCATATATTTTCTGTTTGTAAAGTGGTCAGGAAATTTATTTTAAAACCCATCACGCCCAAAATTTTGTCTCAAGAGTCCCCCGATCTTGCAAATACGCATAAGAAATATCATAGTTAATATGTAGCTGAATGTCTGGAAAATGTCGATACCACGTTACATTTGAACTCATTCGGTTGATGTTTATTTTCTTAAAAAATATGCAGATAAACAAAATGAAATTTAAATAAAATACAACGCGCTTGGGCTACCAGTCTAGCCCCGAGGGAATCATCCCTTAAAGACTTAGTCTGTGAAAAAATACAATTTTGAACAGGAGCCCCTATGAGTGGGTCTGAACTTGTACAAATTTATACTTGCTTCTTTAAGAGCTATTACATTACTAAGGGATGGGCGAAGTACAAATAATATGATCCAGGGACTATGATTGGGACTGGATTTCCCGACAGTCATATGACTGATGGCAAATTAAAGCTTAGAGATCAAAATTGAACGTACCCAGTGAAAACGTACAAAACGAAAAGTTACAAAGTGAAAGCTTACCCAGGCTCCTTTCTTCGAGACGAGAGGCGCTGATATATCTATGAAGCAAATAGACGGTAAATCCAAACAGGAAGACCACGCCACCTAGCTGGTAGTACAGCTTTACCTTCATCTTGCTCTCAGTATGCTACTGACTCTGGACAGTATCCTGGCGTGATGCTCAGCTGTTTTATCCCATTGATTGATGCGTTCTGGTTCGAGCTTATTTGTCAAGTGACACACGCTCCGACAAAACGAGACGGGCTATGGTGAAAGAACCTGCAGATCAATACTATTAGCGGCTGTTTATTTCATGCTTCACAATCAGGTGCTCAGAGAGACGGGTTTTCGCATTGTACGCGACGAGTTATGACGTTTGTCTATTCCCGGCATTTCACTGAGCAGGTGTTGCGCAAATAAAAATACATTTGATCATGTTGTTGTTTTCATTTACATTATTGTTTGAAACAGAACTGACACTGAACAGAATAAGAGATGGGAGACGAGGTTACAATGAAATGAACGTCGCTATTCTTTGATAACGCAATGCATGTTCGTCGAACATATCATCATATGATATGGTCCGCACAGGCTACCGTAGAAAATTGACAGCGCCAGCTGCTGCTTTCCGTATACGTTGAGTGGGTGTATCTGCTATTCAGCTGTCAGCGTACAACGGAGCACAATACAAGTTGCAGCTCACATTCCCAGTAAGATGTGCCTCGTTGTGTTCATGGCAAAATGCACATCGGCTACATCTGCAACAATGTCAACACAAAGGTTGGATGTCCGTGTGTGGATAGCTGCTTCCGGGGTCTCGGTGCGCTTCCCTATTTATGTCATATAGAGACGGAGCCCGGTCTGTAGTTCATCGCGCTTAGGGAGCGGTTACTGAATATAATTACAGGGAGGGGTTATTGTGTGAAGATGCACACTAACTTTGTCTTTATTTTGTCAGCAGCAATACTCTGTACCCAATCATTATTTATGTTTAAAATTTAGAAAATTAGCTAACCTTTAAATGAGAATATATGAAGATGTACTATTTAAAATTAGTAATTTTTTGCCGGCTAAACGTCACAAACTTGAGAAGACGATTTTGCTCTTTTAAACGTGTATAGATTGTGGTCTCACAACTCACACAAAGATGTCCTTTTCAAAATCAGTTTACCAATCTCTTCTTTAGACCTACACCGTTTTTCTGGTGAGGATAATTTTACGCTGCTTTGAGCAATATCCCAGGATATCACGACGGGAAACACCAGAAACGTACATTACACATGATGATGATGGTGATGATGATGATGATGATGAACCATTATCATTACCCCGGGCACTGGGTTCATCCTCAGTCTGTATATAAACTATTACAAATGTCGGCACACCGGTGTTTGAGGGTAGTTTGTTTCGTCCAGATACAGATATACTCACTACGATAATAAAGCTGGATTAACGGTAACTTTGCTGCCTAAAAATATATAATGGGCTTTGTTTTATCCATACCTGATTCTACCGTATAACACTGTATTGAATGACTGGTTAAGAATTCTCTTAATTCCGGATCTAAGTTGAATTACATGTGGATTAGTTGGTCAGTATGTCCGCTATTGGATGGGAATTGGTTGGATAGATAGAACACTTGTTTGTCTACATGTCACTCGCTCCGTATCATATCTATGACGTAATATGGCACAGTAATAAACAACACAATGATACAGTCCTGGGTAAAAGAACAAATATTTAATAACCTTTCCTGAATTTGTGTTAAGTATCTTCAATGGATATTCATATATCTTGCTCGTTCCATCAACAGTGACTTAGCAAAGTTGTATAATTCAACATCGTTATGATTAACCTTGGCAATCCTTTCAAGGTCGCTAGGAGCGATAACTGCTTTACTTGCACGCGTTAGATTAAACTGATCAAAATCGGACAGGAATTTAACATGGAACGTTTTCTCAAAGACAGCCTGACTCAAGTGTTGATAGTCTGTTAAACCAAAATACGACATTTTTAACAGATTTTCTTTTGCACTTTCCAACAATTTTCTGTCTCGTTCCTCTTCGGACATCCCCGTCCTGTTATAGCAATTTACCATCCGCAAATCTGCCAACATTCTTGTTTGACGGTTTATGGCAAGGTTCGAACGACATGCCAGAAAACGACCCAGCGTCAGATTCTTTGGTCCCTCAAAACAATCCCAAAGCTCCTGTTGCGAGGGAAACTGTCCTTGGCAAATGTTCATATCGGGCCACTTGAAAATTTTCTTAGTTCTTAGAAATTCACTGATGAATCTTTGAACAGGGTCTCTTAGTACAGTGATGTAACGATACCTGCAATAAAGAAATCGACAATTTTAGAAGAGTTATCCCCCTTTTTAAGGGCTTCAAACCTGTGATCGTTGGTTCGAATCACAGATTTCATGCTTGTGGGTTTCACACTCTGGCGGATTGACGAGGTTCCTCCGTGAAACAGAATATTTCCGTTCTACACCCCATCTGTCAGCATCTGTGCGCGATGCTGACGTTGAACAACACTTATTATGATTGTTAGGAAATGTCTATTGAATGGATCATTCAAACCAATCGATCATCGGAGTTAATCCGACAGAATAATTTTGGTTCAGTAAAAGAAGACGTAGCTGACAATGGTCTAAGCCTGTGTCACGTTTTCGCCTACCAGTGAAGATCCGGGTTTGAATTGGTCTTCAGCAACCCACGCTGCCACCGGGATCAGGTGGTCAGGCTCGCTGACTTGGTTGACACACGTCATCATATCCCAATTGCGTAGATAGATGCGCATGATGTCTATCACCGGATTGTCTGGTGGTTTTAGTGGTTATTTTAGACAATTTGGTACTTAACTGTGAACGTAATGTTGAGGAAAACACAGGTGATGTTTCTCATGACGACATGGTGCTTACACATCACGTGGTTTCAAACTGGTAATTATGGTATTCGGACTCAAAAGGATTATATATTTTAATATCATTTCAAACATTATTTGGGGAAACAAAACCATTCTCTTTTTTGTGTTCCTGTTCTAAGGAACCCATTATTGAAACTCACCTGGTCTCGCTCTCGTTCTCGTCAAATCTCGCCTCGATACACTCCGCTAGCTCCGTCCAATCAGAGTTAGGACGGCAAGGTGACCCCTGTGGCATCTTTGTTGTGTAATCAAGCAGCCATGTTGAATTAGTGGGTGAGAGACACCTGTAGCCCTTACCATTTGAGAATCTACAACGAGGCTTAATATCAGAATTGTGAATGATATAGTCAATTAAAGCCGGTGTTCCAGTTTTGGGAATATTCAATGGTGTAAACACGTCTTTGTTAACGTCAAACGGCAAATCTCGAAAAACCTCAATTTCGCGAAATATCGACTGTTTCCGTTTTATTCCGTCCCCTCGGATGTTGACTGAGGGAGAGACCCGAGGTTTCCTGACATAGAAACTGTAGCTGAATGAAACACTGAGAATAATTGCACAAACCACAATCGTCTTGACAGTTCTTGCTGATGAACATCTTGCTGATGTAAAACAAGCAAACTGCCGCATGTCCTGCTAGCACCAAACCGAACCAAATGTTCCACTGGTCGAATATTTATGACTGTTAGGAACACTCTAACGTCTACTGGTCGACTATATATTCCAGACACTGTTTACTCTTCCGACTGCCAGGAACACCGTTACGTCTGCTGGTCGACTATGTATTCCAGAAACTGTCTCCTGCTCCGAATGTAAGGAACAATGGACTTTATACTGGCCGGCTATGTATTCCAGACACTGTCTAGTGTTCCGACTGTAAGGTACGCTCTAACGTCTTCTAGTCGAATACGTATTCCCGACACTGTCTGCTATTCAGGCTGTTAGGAACACTCTAACGTCTGTTGGTGGACTACGTATTCAAGACACTGTCTACTCCTTCGACTGTTAGGAGCACTGTTACGTCTACTGGCCGGCTATGTATTCCAGACACTGTCTAGTGTTCCGACTGTAAGGTACGCCCTAACGTCTTCTAGTCGAATACGTATTCCCGACACTGTCTGCTATTCAGGCTGTTAGGAACACTCTAACGTCTGCTGGTGGACTACGTATTCAAGACACTGTCTACTCCTTCGACTGTTAGGAGCACTGTTACGTCTACTGGTCGACTATGTATTCCAGACACTGTCTCCTGCTCCGAGTGTAAGGTACACTCTTACGTCTACTGGTCGAATACGTATTCTTGATACTGTCTACAGCTGTGACTGCTAGGAACACTGGAACGTCTACTGGACGAATATGTATCTCAGACACTGTCTACAACTCCGAGTGTTAGGAACACTGTGTAACTTTTACTTGTCAGATATCTATTCATGACTCTCTACTGGTCCAACAAATAACAGCAGTATCTATTGTGATCTCTAACATGGAACTGGTCTAACGGTCCAGAACAATGCGTCGTCTTCTACCTGTTGGGAACGTTGTCAACTGATCTGGTGTAGAAGGTGTAATAGTGAGTGTTGGGAACCGATACGTCAGTAGTGCCTGCGAGTGTCAACTGCTCACCCAATAGGGAAGGCGAACTCCCTGTCTGGCCACTACGACATGGTTACAGGTGTGAGTGAGTGAGTGTGGTTTTACGACGCTTTTAGCAACATTCCAGCAATATCACAGTGGGGGTCACCAGAAATGGGCTTCACATATTGTACCCATGTGGAATATCGAACCCGGATCTAAGGCATGACAAGCTAACGCGTTAACCACTAGGCTACCCCACCGCCTCTTATAGGTGCGAGCAGGTCCAAGCTGAAAGTGTGTGCTGATGTTGAGGGTGGGCGTGGTGCTGTGGAAGCCAGAGGGGTAAGGGGATAGGGTGCTGAGACCGCTACAAACATAACAGACTATAACAGTCGTCTCAACGAGCAGGATATTTTGTCTTAAGATGATAACACTCACCTGGCTGGAGTTTTATATTTTCCCCCGCTTCATTTTACTTTATAAAATACGGATACTTATAATACTAATTCCCTCCCTGTTCAAGTCACATTGACTGTCTCACAGTCCCTGAGCCGCACAGACCTTAATGAGTGAGTATGGTTTTACGCCGCTTTTAGCAATATTCCATCAATATCACGGCGGGGGACACCAGAAATGGGTTTCACATATTGTACCCATGTGGGGAATCGAACCCGGGTCTTTAGCGTGAAGAGTCAACGCTTTAACCACTAGGCTACCCCACCGCCCCACACAGACCTTAATGAAGCAAGTCAAGATTTCCTCAGGTTGAGAAGGAATGCTAATTATTCACAGATAAATCATTAGTCTGTACCTGGCGTTCACCAGATCTAGGATACATTGTTCTTTTGTCCTTCTAACTGAACAGAATTAGAGCGTTCTGGGAGCACAGAGTGAGTGAGCGGTATTGAGAATCTTGGAAACCATCAAGAGTGTCGTCTGTGTGGTACATAGCGATAGTGCACGGAATCGATCGACATAGTGGTATATCAGTGATGAAATCAGTTGAAACCCACATATGTTGTCGAGTCTATTATTCCCCGCCGTGGTAGTGCTGAAATATTGCACTTTCTGAAGTCTCTCAATATATCTAACTCACTCACAATAAAATCATTGAGTATAAATATCGTGAGAGACAAATGCTGTACTCTCGACAACAGATATTGTTTTCAACTGTTTTCATCACTGATATACCACTGTCGATCGATTCCGTGCGCTCTCGCTATGCTCCACACAAACGAGAGTCTTGATGGTTTCCCCGATTAACAATACCGCTATATCATTTTCCCC